CAAATATACTGCAAGAAACTATTTAGATAACTAGTTCAAACAGAAGGATAAATAATCATCGGGTGTTTTGTATAATATCCGAGTGTGTTGAAAAACAGAACACGATTTATCTAGAAGTTCTGCTTCGTAAATCACAGATCTAGTAGGAGGAGTAGTCAAAATTAATTTAAAATTAAATAGGTAGTCAAGTTGTTCGGATAGTTTAGTTGGAGAAACCAAAGTCTAACACTCGAATAACTTAGGTCGTAATCGCCAAGATTATTTCAGGTATAATTCCTTTACTATAAACTTGGGATTTCCGCCAAACTGTTCGATAAAATTTTGACGAATGTTTATGTAAGTGTATTCAAATTAGTGTATTAAATCATATACATAAGTAGTAAATTCACCCAATAGTAATGGTGTCGTACGGTGAATGGTCATGTAGGAAATTATTAATTTCATTAAGCTTACTTGACTTCTTTGATCGCGAAAATGATTATTATTAGCTAAAAAACCATTGTACTCTGCATTAATACTTACCAACAAATACACAAGCATCAATCGTAACTGTTTATTCATGCATTTTGTGTCCTATTCTTTTTCTAATCACGATTGGTTATAATTTCTCTTTTTATGACCCAGCTACTCTTATTGTTTAGTATTCTTGGACACTAATTCACTCGACAAGTCCGCAAGTCAGAATACTGTTGAACAGGAACGAAATTATATTCCAAATAACAAGGGTAGGTAGGAATAGGAATCACAGTAAAAGAAACGTTAGTCTTATCCAGGTATCCACTAGCGCTGATTGGATAAGAAATAGCCAGCCAACGTATCCGAAGATAATCCTGCACGGAATGTGCTTTAATTCAATCTATATCCCGCTAACACCATGCCGGTCACGTTCCCAATATTTATATAAACTTCACAAAGTAAGGTACGTTAAACAATTGTTGGTAATTATATTAATAGTAGTAATTTTTGGCTATATACAGCTGATGAGAGACCGTAAGATAGGGTGGATTCATTTTACTTTGCAAATCTTGTTCTTACTCTATTTATATTCTAATATCAAGAGTTTTACTGGTTGTATAATGTATTTAGGTACCAGCTATTTTAAAAATTCGAAAGGGAGTGAAACAAATATAAAGTACTGATTGACCAACTACCAGTTGTCGACGAATGTAATGTACGAATCATTTGTTGATGGATGAATATGTACTGCGGAATTATGTTAAAGATTATTCCTAATTCGTAAGTAGCATAAAGAGAAAATACAACAGAATAACTTGTTTTTTCCCAAGTTGATTACTTGTCTCCAAGAAATCACTAGACCTCCAAGTCTATTAATAGCTGTTGGTAACACCGTAACTCGCCAACCCCAAAGCTCATTTTTACGAATTGTGTTTAGTTGTTATGAACATCATGTTGTGCTCGATATTTCTATCCGAAAAAAATGTTATTATTTTGTCAAGTTACAGATGTTTATCATAAATTTATGTTAAAACCGTTAAACTAAGATAATCAATGCAATTCAGATCATATTGTACATACATAATTTTCTTCTCTTTAGGTTTATAAATGTACTAAACAGTTCATCTGAAGATTTTTATTCACAAACGATTCAATAAAAATATGATAACTGCTTATTAGCCATAGCAAATGAATGAATAACATAAAAGGGATATGAACATACATTAGGGAAAACTATTCATTTATCCTTTAAACCATTTGAATAATAATGATTTCATTTTCCTAACTGTATCATTCATTAAGTGAAAATAGAATAAAATTATCCAGATCATGAAAAAACACACAAGGTTATTTGCGACTAAACTTTCTGACTACTATCAGATTATAAATAGTATATGTATAGCAAATATGCTACCATTTCATACTAACCTGTTCGTGGATAGTATTTACGCGTTGAATTGAAGTCTATGAACTTGTTCACTTACAGAAGCTACAAATTCCTCTATTCTTGGTTACTTTCAAAATAAGATGCTTTTTGATAACCAATAAACAGATTGCATGAATTTAAAAATGCGCATAACTGATTTTCATGGAAACGGTATAATTTAAAATTTAAGTCTTATTTCTGAAGTTAAATAAAATGCTTTTCTTATATTCTTTGTTAGATTGAAATCAAAGTCACATTTCGAAAGAATGATGAAATGTGTTGCCAGCTAACTGGAACCTAGTTTTCTTAAGTATAAAAGTCATTTGATATGTGGTAGTGAAAATCGGGCAATTTTTCATTCCATAAATATATCAATAATGACACCAGTATATCTATATATTAATTCGTTTGCAAGCCAATTAACGCACAGGTCAAAATATAGATTGTTTATTTAAATAGATTTGGTGATTATTTCCGGACTAACAACACCCTGTGACATAATTAAAGAGCGTTCAGTGATGTGATCACTTTATAAAAAGGAGAAGTAGCACTTTATAGTAGTTTAGTTTAATTTACTTTCAACAACAGAATTAATATAAGTGTACCGTTACTATTATATATTTACTGTATGAGTGTTACTATGTACGATCATATCTGATTGTTGACTAATAAATGGATTCAAATGAACATAAATGAAAGAGAATATTCTTAAGAAATCTGGGGTCGTTGGGTGCTTTATAAACACTGATATATTAACTAATCCTTATTATAATGTTAGCAAACAGTTCAATAGCGCCTTACCTTTTATTATTTTCATTAGCTCAGTGGTTATATCTGTAATTCAAATACATACATACGTACATTCGTGAAGTGATTCTGAATCCCACAAGGAACATTATTTCCCTCATGGTTGTACGTATTACTTACTGACAAGTGTAAATGAGCAAGTAACCTAGTTTCTTTGGCTATTACCTCCAACAATCTGACATCTCAACATATACATTTATTTGTAGCATATATCATGAAATAACTTTAGTTAGGATATCAACCAAGGTCTGTTACGTATTTGGATGGGTCACGCAAACAACCATCCGTAACTCAGTATGAGATTGAACCGTGGAACACCAGGTATGATGATGAGTTTGTTAACTTCAAATCACTGAATCAGCATCCAGTGATTCGCACATGTAAGTTTAAACTAAATAACTTGCACTAATCTTCTAACATAAACAAATTAAGAAAAACTTTTCTCATTCAAAACACTATATAGATCATAAATTTGATTTGTAGTCAATAATATCAAAATATTATTATTACAAAACCTTCAAGAATAGTGTTTTATCAAAAATAAGTCGACATAGAAAAAGGGGTCAATTGAACAGACACGGAAAATTAATAAAAGGAGTAGTGATGAAAATAACTTTTATTGACGTAGACCATTGGACATATACGCGTCGAATCAATTTTCCACACCACATCAAAGTGAGATTAAGTTATAGAAACAAATTCTCGAGTGGTAATAGAATAATAGTAGTAATAGTATCAGTGGCAGTACAACAGATTATGGGTATAAACAATATCATTCGAGAAGAAAGAATGAACTCAAGGAATAAAACAATTATAGGATAGAGATGGATAGTGGCTAGCAGTGGAATCCAGGACGCGCGTTTCGTCCTATTTGGGACTCGTCAGCTGGATGTACCTGCATCTCAGAGTTGATGTTCACTCTGGGATTCGAACCCGGTACCCTCGATTCAAACGCCATCGCGTCATCCACTCGGCCACTGAGTCCTGATAGCCACTTGCTTGTGCGATGGGGTGAAGTTTAAATTCAACTTAGTATTGTTTGTTTGAATCTTCCCATCGATTTGTTAGGACTGCAACTGGTCAGTCAGACCAAGTTGAATTATAGGATAGTTTGAAATTGAAGATCTTATAGGAGACGTCGAGTGGGTGCACCTGTGACAATAAAAGATACCCCAAGTCATATCAACCAAAATATCTAGCCATTAGTTATAATGATCGTGTGAACACTAACCAGATAGTGTTATCAATCATTATAGAGGGATGAGATTTTAGCTTACAAGATTTCATTACTACTCTGTTGCTTGCAGTATTCACCAAGCTTATATATAAATTATTCTGTTAAGCTTATTTTCAGTGAACTAGAATTGGAAACATTCTTGGAGAGCATGTTGGAAAATTTTTTGAATATGATTATTTTTTAGTATGTGAATAGTAGAATGTCAAAAGTACAAAAACTTTATATATTCTCAGTGTATATGTGAAGTTGAATAAGGTAAATGAAAAATTATTAAAGATATAAAAAGTATTTCATAGATGCTTAGTCTTAGAATCTAATAAATCAGGAAATACTAATCCCTTAACACCATTTTGTTGATGCGATGGTGAATGTATCTTCAAAACAGTGTATGACCAGTCTCGAATCATGATTAAAAAACTTTCATTACACAGCTTTACTCTACGACACGGGAAAGGTCAATTTATTGAGTAACATGTGAGACAGTTATTCAGTTTATTATTAATTAATATGTGTTATTGTAATTCTTTCCATCATCAATGCCAATTGTTTCACATTATGTATTAACTTAACGTTACATTTTAATACGTATATTGTTGTAAGCAGCTGATAAGAAAGCACGAAATAAGATGAATCCGTATTATTATGCCTCAGTTGCCGTTCTGGCTTTTATCAAATTCCTAAAGGGTACCAGTTGTATGAAATTCAATTTTTAATCTAAAGTTTACTCATGCTTGTTAGAAATCCATTTTTAGTGCTTATTACTGGCCGATCGGCAGATTTCAGTAAATCTCCTGTTATGGCTTGAGACCGCTGATTGATATCAGGAGTTAAGGTCACCAATCGCAATTCAATTCTGAATTTTCCCTCTTCCTGAGCTTGCCAATTACACGTCTGACTTGCACTGTTAACCTTGGTCGGACGCAAGATAGATCCCTATTGGCTAATTATGCTCAAGCCTTTCTAGACCCCTTGCCTTAACTCCAAGGTGTAGTCAGTAGTTAGCTTATATCATTATGCTTAACTCAGTAATGGCTCAAAACCTATACAATAAAATCCAGTAAGATTCTGACTAAACATCGTCATTATTAAGGAAGTACATTAATGGCATAATGACACCATAGGTGGGAGTGAACTGAGTAATCGGTCCTCAATAAATTAACAGTAACCAAAGGAAGTTACAAAACACAACAACAGTTTATGCATCATGGAAAACTTGCAAGCAGATGAATATAAAAGTACAATAATTCAAGTATTTATTACTTAAAAAACAAATATATCAATCATAAATTCAGTTAAGGCAGTCCCGAAAATTCAACTTCGCAATATTCATCCCATTATAATATTCTTTTTAAAAATTCCAAGTGAATAAAATGGAAAAAAACTATGCATCTAATTAATACTAAAGGTCATGATGTTTAACTCAGTGTTAGAAACAGAAGGTCCTAGTTTCACCCCCGTGAACAGTATACTGGGTAAACAGTAAATTATGAGATAAGACAGAATAATTGTTTGAAGGATGTTATCATTCAGTAATGTCCAACTTTACATCATACGAATCCTTTAATCCACCATTGTAAAAAAAGAAACTCATCATCATTATTCATTATTTATTAATTTTAGAAACAACAGATAGAAAGCTTCTTCAAATCAACTAATCACTATACGATGACATTAACGGTTATAATCTGTGAGATATCTCTAAAATGATCTCATATTTATTGTCTGAATATATAATCGTAGATAATTTATACAACAGTTTTCTCATAACTGCCATATTCAGCTAATATCACCTTGTTATACTGCAAGCTAATGATAAATTAAAAAACAACATTCAATGTTCCGGATTAATTAACCTTTAATCAATATTAAAGTACATATAAGACTTAAATAATCATATAGGTGTACAACCTTTCATTTAATTATTATGATGATGCCTTAAAATATTCTAAGCCTAAAGATCATATGACTTCAGTTTGATTTACATAAGTGCAGATAGATAAAATTATCAGGATTATAAAGACAGGTGGTTTCAAATAAAGATCAAATGATTATACATAGATATATGATATCCTGAAATCTGTTAGTTAATATGCTAGTTATGTATATCTTATTTCAATAAACTACAATGGAATGAAATTAGCAAGAACATTATCAGAAGTCATTGTCAACTAGACGACAACTTCTTACTAAGCTGAATTAATTCAATGAGTACTTTAGATTCCTCATGAAACTGAATTAAGATCCTTACTTTCAACAAACAGATTACATTTGTTTCTGGTGTTAATATAAAATGTTTAAATATTCATCATTTCAAGGCAGTTGCTGAGATGATAAACTTTATTAGACTTCTGAATAAACTGCCTCGATTACGTAATACTAGTGGTAGAATTAGCATGAGCGACGTCATCATTATGATGTAATTCAATTCTTCATATTCCATTTTCTGTTTAAAGGTATTTAAATTTATTTGACGTGGTTGGGTTTGCTAGATATTTGACCACTAATTTTTGGTTTTACCTAGAATATAATATTTTAGCTATATTTAACCCATAATACTCGAAGGTTTCAGAAGGTCATCAGAATTATTTGATATATTTTGATCAATCTTTACTGACATATAAGCATTGAATGCTGATTAACTATCTGATTTTAGTAGGTCAGGTGATAACACATTATTGTTTGAAGTGGAAGGTATGGCGTTCCAGTTCCAATAAGAACATCACACAAATCCAAGTAAATCAAAGTGAAAATTTCAAAAAAGCACGAAATACATGACTCAGACTTCCCTATCAGTTGTAATTCACGTATTTTAAAAAGCTATAACTTCCATCCAACCCAGACCTAAATCAACCGCCTTCAAATACTTGTAATCAGAAAGTAATCAATGCTAACAAAGGTCTTGGATTTCTTTCAACTTCAATAATCGTTCTCATATAATATCGAATAATGTTGTCGTGAATACTCCAACTGAATGCTAACTTATTAACTGAACGTTTATGTATCTTAATTAAAAACGGAAGGAAAAAAAATACTCACTTTGGTTGACAAATGAGGTAGAGGATAATATTATTGCATAGTTTGTTACCTTCAAAAGTTAAATAAATAGTATTCCACAATCGTAACCTGTAAAGTAAACAAATCAGCACTTGCTTTTTACTTAAATATACCTCGCTCAGTTAGTACTTTTGGTTCAAAATTTTAAAACTGACCAATCATAATGAGAATTGAATTATTATGCACGTAGAATTCGTTAATTTGATTGGTCAAATTGTTTTATAGACAAAAACAGCTGTAAAAAGACGTAATGAGTGGTGGATGATAGTAAGCATGGCTTATGAAATTATTATTACAATATCTATGCTTATGGAGTATTTAAGACAAAGTGAGATATATGGTAGGAATATCATAAAGTTTTAATCATTATAGTAACGTTAATGAGTGACTTGAAAATAAACTATTTGTAGGTATTTATAAATTGTAAGTCTTTTATCATTACAGAAAGACTCCATTGGAGAAGCGTTGGAAACCGGGGAATACTGGACTGGCGCATTTTCGCAGGTTAGGATTTCTCGGTGATGCACATATACTACTCCTTATGGGATTGGAATGATGACTTCCTACATTCCTAACTTTAGACTACTAAGCTGCATATCAGTGATCTACAATTCCGATTTTATTCAACTAGTGACATCAAAAGAAAATAATCCTTATTGTTCCATGATACTCACCTAATTCCTGATATGGTTAATAGTCATTAACTTCAAGACGATTGATTTGTACAATATTACTTTGCTAGTGTCTTCGTTTGCTATATCTTTTATATTGTGATGACTATGTATGAAATGACCCAAAAGAGAAATGACCTACAAAATGTAGCAGTCGGCGCTGTCGAATTGAAGGGTTATACACTTAAGGTGAACACCGGTTGAGAACGTTCTACAGTGATCTGCTTAGCGAGACCGGTAATGAATTGCATAATATTAATAATTTTTAACTATTCGCATAATTTAATTGTCTGGCAACATTTAGAAAACTGTGTGAGAACTGAATTCACGAATTCTGGAAGTCAGTGTTAATAAAGTATTTATGAACTTTGACAAGGAGTAATGTGTATGCTGTCTCATCTAAAATGGAACAAATATGACTCGAACCAAGAGACAGAAAGAAAACACTGAATGCGGATGAAAATATTTGTAAGGATGATTAATAGGAAGAAGTTAAATAGATCCGACTGAGTGGCTTTTGACACTAACTTATCAATAAGATACTGTATGAACACAAGTAACGAATATCGCAAGGTTAAACTGATATTACTACCATAAATAACTGATCTGCGAAACCGCTTCCCCATAACTTGAGTCAATATATTTTCTGATCAACCTGAAGAATCATTGTGCCCAATTTTATAGTAAGTACAATGTCTGTTAACTGTATAATTGCTTTCTACAGATACCGTTTTATATTCTTTAATCTGCTTTTACTGATAGGTTGTCGATTTATGGAGGACAATGCTAGGTATTGGTTATGACATACTGGAATCGGAATTATTTTGTTAGTAGAGTTGATTTTTAAGCTATAAATAAATGTATTTCGGTATACAATAGAAACCGTTGCTATTAAAAAAAAATTAAAAAAGCTGTTGACAGACTATATTGATAGTTTCATCTAACATATTCAAAGGACGTAATTTAGTTACGTGAAAGATGGTTATATGATGCATTTCTAGGAAGGAACGTAACGTTGTTCAAATTGTGAAAATCCAAATTTCCTTTAATGAATTGCAACTTTTATATTGACTACAGGTACACTTTGCTAACAAGAATAAAATAGAACGAAACCTAGTTCAAGGGTTTTCTGTCGAGTACTTCCAACTATCATCTCAAATCCACAATCGGGTTTTACGTGCCACTCACAACCTACAATTAGAAACGTTCCAAATTTCCATACTACTTCTCGATAGATATTTAACTTTTAAAAAACTGTAGTTGATTCTATATGGTCATCAGCAATCCAAAACGTGATCAACGGCTAATCCAAATAGGTTTTTAATTTCTAAAAAGGCTAAAAGTTTCTCCATTATGCATTGCAATCACAAGCGCTACTGAAAACTATATAAGCTTATTTTCCTCGTTAAAAATTTATTGGAGGTCACTCAAGTCATATGAACCCAGATAGCTTTGAGACAAACTACAGAGTGCCATAATTATGAAATATGATTTACTCACATTATGACAGGTTTTGATGGGAAAATGGCCAAATGTTTTTGAATGCGGAAAGTCTTTGTACAGCGTAATCATCACTATATATCCTACTATTAAAAATAGGCATTAAAATATCAGTCAATCAGCCAGTCAAGTACAACGTAGGACCAGGCACATACATGGATTGGTCCAAGTTGTCATACCTCATGAGCACAACAAGATGAACACCAAATTCTTAGTAGTTAATTTAGTGGTGGTAATATATAAAAGAAAGGTTGTCTATAGGGATATAGCACAGGAAGAAAGACAGGGAAGATAAAGAGTGTATGCACCTACGCCATTGTGATCGATTCTGACCCATGTCACCTACAGTCTCCAAACATTGGTTACGATAGTCAGGCGGGCCCCAACCAATTTGTCTGCATCTACCAACATGGCTCAGACTAGAAGTTAGTGACTTTAAGCACTGATGCCATGTTTTGGTTTGGCCGCCCCTAACTCTCTTCCAACCATCCCCTACACTAGTCAACATTGCGCGTCGTGGTAATCGGTGTTCAGGCATACGTAACACGTGGCCCAATCATCTCAGTCGATGAAGATTCATGACCTCATCAACTGATTTACCATAATTCCCTAATACCTCGCGTCTAACCTCATTATTACTTATTTCTAAGGCATCTGTGGTCAAATACCAGTAACTTACGAGTATCTTCTACTCTTAAAGGTCATGTTTCACAGCCGTAAAGTAGAACAGAGCGAACTGCTGTGCAGTATACTCCTCCCTTAATTGATAGACGGATGTCTCGTCTTCGCCATAGGTGACGTAAATTGGCAAAAGCCAAACGAGCTTTTTGAATCAGTGGTGAGATTTCGTCCGACACCAACCCATTAGGGCTGATCAGACTTCCAAGATAAGTGAAGCTGTCAACGCGTTCGACTACTTCACTCCCTATCCTTAGTTCATGTGTTGACGCAGGCCGGTCCTGGAGTAACAATTTACATTTAGAGGGGGAGAAACGCATCCGAAACATACTGGCATTATTACTCAGCATCTTCACCAAACAGGACTATGTCATCTACGTATTCTAAGTCGATAAGTGGACCTCCTGGTAGGAGATCAATTCCTGAAAATTCAGTCGACGATAGTGTTATTTTCAGCAGTAAGTCTGTGATAAAAATGAACAAAAATGGGGATAGTGAACAGTCTTGCCGCACACCACTTGAGGTTGCAAAATCATATGACAGTTCGTCATAAGCTCTTACTCGACTGGTAATGTTCGAGTAAAGAGTCTTCACAAGGTTTATGTACTTCTCAGGTACACCTTTCTATGACAGACACTGCCACAGAACCTCTCGGTCTCCAGAGTTGAATGCTACTTTTAAGTCAAGAAAAACTATCATTGTCGGACGCTGATAAACATGTCTGTGCTCTAAAACCAGACGAATAGCGAATATGTGGTCGATACAGTCACAACCAGGCCTGATTTCCTCGTGTTTGCAGTTCACGAGTCTTAGTTAGGCGCCCGATAATTATTGAGGCTAGTATTTTAGATGCTATGTTAGTCAGACTAATCCCTCTATGGTTATCACAGGATGATTTAGACTCCTTATATATTGGGACAATCAGTGATTATGACCAGTCAGATGTGACTACGTCCAACTCCCAAATTTTAGCTTAAATACTAGTCAACCTACTTACTAAGACTGGACCACTATATTTAAAGACCTCTTGAGCCAATCCATCTGGATCAGCTGTTCTTTCTCGTTTCAAATTAGCTTTAGCCTTTTGAACCTCAGCTAGACTCGGGAGACCTTCTTCAATGTTTGGGAGTGGTGGGTAACTATAGAGTAGCTGAAGACCGGCTAAACTGTTCCACCCATCGTTCTAAACGTTTGGGTTGAGAGCAGATAAGGGTTCCGTCTTTTTCGGAGATTGTCTCACTTACACTTGACTTCTTAATTCCAGTTTCTTTTATTAGTCTGAATAGTTGCCTGGTGTTACCTACAGCCGCTGCCTTTTACATCTCTTTTGCTTTCGTTGCCCACCACTGCTCATGATCGTTCTGTAAACTTTTGGTTAACCTAGATCTGATTTCTTTTCGCTCTTTGTCGTGTTCAGAACCTGATGGGATGAGTTTACAAGAATCCATCAGTGTAATAGACTAAGAAGAAATCCATTGTTCTTTTATAACCCTTTGGTTTAAATTACTAATAGATGTTACTGCTGTTTCTACAGCTGTTCGTATGTCTTTCCAAGCAGCATCTGGGTCAGTCTCGTTTACAGAACTGCCTAGATGTGAACTCAGTTGTTTCTGGAATTCGCATTTGGCTTTCTCGTCCTCCAGTTCAATCCTAATGGGTCTTCTTAGTGTACTTTTCCTGCGTCCATTGAGGCGCAGACAAATGCGCGCTCGTATTAAAGCGTGATCAGAGTCTAAACAAGTGTTCCAATACGAGCGACAATCTTCTATTGAGCCACTCCAACGATGACTGATGACAATATGGTCTATTTGAGTCCATCGTTGGTTTGATGCAGGTGGTCACCATGTCAGACGATGTCGCTCCTTATGCTTAAAATTAGTGCTTGCTAAAAATAAACGATTGTCTGAGCATAGTTGCAACAGACGATCACCATTATCGGTTCGTTGAGCCGGAATAACGATATACCCACCTAAATGTCTTTCTGTTTCGTTTAAGCTGCCCAATTGGGCATTGAAGTCACCCGCTACGACTACTATGTCTGAGTGCTTAGCTTTTTGAAAACGTTCAGAGAGCTTTCTGTAAAAGTCATCTTTCGCTTCATCCGAGCTGCAGTCAGTGGGAGCGCAGGCAGAAACGACCCGACCGTTGCTGCTACCTTGACGTGGTGGTCGGGCTTGCCTATCGTGATGATCCAGTCGAGTTATGCTGGCTGGAACAATC